GAGAACAAATGGGCTCCGTTTTGCGGAGAACAGATATGCCTGTGTTTTAGCGATGTTAAAAGTGCCCAGATTGTCGTCACCCCATTTGGAGACTAGACGCATTTATCTACTCCACCATGGCCCCAACTGGACATGAATCTCTGTGTGTCTCTATATATATACTCAATAATACCTGGTAGGAGTAGTTCATTGATATGCAGCGGGAAAAGATTTGCAGAGAGAAAAGACCTCTGAGGAACTCAGGCATTAACCCAGTTGTTACTGAAACTTTTTTTTACCTCGAATTACAGTAATTTTTTAATATGGTTACCTTGATGCATATAGTAAACATGGAAAAATACCAAAAAAAACACCGAGCTTTCAGGAAAGCTCGGAAAATGCGGATCGTTTTAACGATCAGTAGTAATAGGCAGGTAGGTTAACGCTCATAATAACTACCACTTTATCGATTGTATCCAGTTTTAAATTAAAGAAACACAGTTATTACTATGAAAAAGGCTTTATTATCTAATTGAAAATTTTTAATTAACAAACCAATATACCTATGTGGAGTATGGTAAGTAGCAAAACATGTTTTAGGGTGCAAATGGATTTTACATTTTTGACAAGTGAAGTTTGTGTTTTTTTTGCAAAGCGAACATCGAAGCTGAGAGTCATTGTACTCTACTAGATGATCAACTCTATCATAGCGTGAAGTTTCCCTGTAAGTTCTAGAAGTGGGACAAGGACCACGTTTCTCATTTTTTTATATGTTTCCAAGATTCCTCTAGCGATAGTTCTCCGGAATGTGAGATGATCGTACTCTCCTCCATTATTTTTATAAAGTTGCCACGCATTGTGTGTCGCCATGTCCAAGCAGTGAGAAAACAATGAGTAATACCATTTCTTGCCACGGATAGATGTACGATATAGACCGATGTTTTGGTCAGACCTATCGACTCCCCCCATGTTTTCATTGTAGCTTTTTATAATTGCAGGCTGATCAATGTATATGTCGGAAGTATAGTGGGTATAGTACAGAGACTAATTTTGTAGTTAGGAATAATAATTAATTCGTTTACACGAATTAATTATCCAATGAGTCGAGGATAAACTAGTAACGGAATACGACAAGTGTACCGTTCCACGTCAGAGCCAAGACTGTCTTAACGGCGGCCGCTCAGTCCGTTTTATACAAGCAGGACGGGCGGTAACGCAGGTGCGATGCCGCAGGTGTGCGGTACACGTGTCGTTTACAAGAATTCTGTCTTGCTAGACCGACACCACCGCATCTACAACGGTGCAGGTGCCGTCACGGCCATACTGACATGCGTGCGTCCTCGCACGCGCTCCATTACAATTTTAGTTATCTGTAACAACTGTAATCTGTAAAACATCGTTCGATTATCCTGACAAAACAGCGTCTGGTCCGGTCTATACTGACCCTACAGACTCTAGTGATAATCAGTTTTGTTCCGGCACTAAGCCCTACAAAACTTTTATCAACTTTATGCTAGATCGGAATGATTAGTCTGTAGCTTTTTCTATTTTCTCTTTTTTTTTCAAGTACTGTTTTCGCTAGTCCGGAATCACTATTCCCTATAGCTATATCACTGGACCGGCACAAAGCCCTGCAATGATTGAAAGAACTATTCTTTTTTCTTAATCTCTTTTTTTTTCAGTACTATTTATGCTAGTCCGGAATCACTATTCCCTGTAGCTTTATCATTGGACCGGCAAACGCCCTGCAATGATAGTAAGAACCACATTTTTTTTCTTACTCTCTTTTTTTTCAATTCAGTATAGAACAGTTACAGACCAATCATACCGCAAACATGTCCCCGTCACAATCACACAAAAGTGTATCGTGAGGGACGTAGTGACACGATAACACCCAAGTATGTAAACCAATAGCAACACGACACATATCCCAGTGCAGCACAGACCAGCCTCCCTGCAACTTCATGTTCCTTTCCTGCACTAGAATAATTACTTCGCTAGAGTGTTGCAACGTCTCTAGTATTTTCTAGATGCACAGACACGGCTACCTCTGACTGTCGCACGTCCTCGTGCGGTTGACAGTGAACAGCATACGGTCTATCAGGTATCACTACCTGCTAACAGATATTAACTCTTGTTAAATATTACAACGGTCGACCATCCCAGACTTCATTTAAGTCATGGACGCGCTGATATGGCCACCTCCAGGCAAACGCACTCCAACTTTCCGTTCTGCTGCGTTCGTGCCACATTCGCGCTAGCAAGCCGTCGCGCCGTAATGGCCCTAGCGAATCGTCGCACTGCTTTGCAAAATTAAAAATTAAGAGAAATGGAGATAAATGTATTGCGAACCATGGAATTCCAAGATTCTCTTAAGAAACGGCAACTGTATGCCATTTGAAAACATTGCAAAAAAGGGAAACTATGTGTAGAGACAAATACCATCACATTTTCAAAGGGAAGGAGCCAACTGCGCATAATCTACGAATGCCGACCAAGCCTCAGACGTTCATTTACAGCACCAAAGGACCATGTGTTCGGCGGCCGCTTGAATTGTTTTGCCGTAAGATCTGCCGATAAGTTACAGACTGTAGCGGTGTAGGCTCAATCTTACTAGCGCTCGGCCGTACCTGACCATATTCGATTAGCCGTCACAACAACTTCCTCATTGATCATTGTTGTAGAGAGACTTCTACGAATCTGTCGACATCAAACCCCAATCTTGTCGACCACACAGTATTCGGAGCAAACTGCAATACTGATCAACACATTAGAACACAAAAATGTCACTTATTATTTTCAATCCATAGCGTGTTAAAGTTAATCCTTTATTGTAGTACAACCCTTAAACGTCTTGAATTTCAAAATATAACTGATGATAATCATGTTTCGCATGAACTATCAAATTACAACAAAACGAGAGCAGCAGGAGCACCTGAGGGTTTACAAGCATCGTCGGGGTTGTAGTCATCATGATCTGCGTGAAAAACAAATTGTTAACTATAAGGACAACATACACAGTTGCCTGTTCTCTCATCTATCACACATACGAGGCCCTAAAACAGAAATTCGTTCTCATACCTTGGACTATAATAAAGCACTTCGCTTTCACAAGTAAACATAGGTCTTCATACGAAGTATCTGACACATACTCTTACTTGAACTTGCGAGATCCCACGTTAACTACGTGAACCACATTAAAAACGTGAACCAGGACAGCGCCTGCCAGGACAGAGCCTAATACATGTTCAGAAAACATTACCGTGCACACAGCATACGACTTCCGCGCACACAGTGTGACTCCCACGCATACAGAGTACACGACTTCCGAGGCATCGCCATGTACAGCATACGCGCGCTCCGGGATGGCGCCTGCGTATACGCGCATACGCATCTGCTGAAACCAGGCCATGTTACAGCTGGACCTGACAGTCCGTTACGACCAGCAAGGCACACACTCACGCACTTGTAATCACATCACACGTGCTACTGTAACACATAAAAGAAAACATTAAAAATACTCAGTCGGAACTTGATTTCAAGAAATGCAGCACTACTCTTGGTACACCATTCGCCTTTCTAGGGCACTAAATACTGAGCTGCGGCTACACGACAACCTCTGGTATGGTCCGATCCTCATGTAAACTTAAATACTCTCTTCAATGTCAGAACCAATTGGCTCTACTTCACTTTCATCAGTTATACTTCGGTTTTCCGGCATTTTTCGCAACCAATTAAAAATGTAAACACTCATTCTTACAAAATAGTTTCTGAGCCAATGTTTAGGATAAATTTACTTTCCTCATGTATCTAATGGTGATCAGTAGCAGCGACAAATAATAAGTCCGCGGCGTCATAAGCCGACAGCATACTCAAAAGCGAGCGCTACAGCTCCACGCTTTCCACTAAACCATTCCAAGTTTGTCGACTACGTAATGCTCGGAGTAAACTGTAACACTTATCATCACATTAGATCACAAAAATACTACTTAGTGTTTTTAAGTCATAGCACGTTAAAGTAATCATGTTCTTTTTTTCGGTACATCGTTTAAACATTTTGAACTTTAAAACTAGGCCATGTAAATCACACCTCGTGTATCAAATTATAACATTACTTGAGCAAGTTAAACTTCCACTGAATGCAAACTATAACTCATTCAGAATATCTCCAACATTTCTTTCATTTGTTAACATATTTAGGTACGTCAGAAATAATGAAAATACTTGAGGGTACTTTTAATACAAATCGAACAAAAGGATTTATCTTTTGGCTTAAATAATTTCACTTTATCTTTTCTCTACACTTTAATGATACGACAATATCGTAAGTAGGACAGCAAATTTTATTACGGTATTTAACATAAAAAGAGATCCATCAATGTGAAATGCATTATAGCCTTTACAAATGTAATAATTCTCATACTATTCAAAGATTGTACGTGGGCAAAAATGGGGACTTTATCCCACTTCTGATGTCGGAAGTATAGTGGGTATAGTACAGAGACTAATTTTGTAGTTAGGAATAATAATTAATTCGTTTACACGAATTAATTATCCAATGAGTCGAGGATAAACTAGTAACGGAATACGACAAGTGTACCGTTCCACGTCAGAGCCAAGACTGTCTTAACGGCGGCCGCTCAGTCCGTTTTATACAAGCAGGACGGGCGGTAACGCAGGTGCGATGCCGCAGGTGTGCGGTACACGTGTCGTTTACAAGAATTCTGTCTTGCTAGACCAACACCACCGCATCTACAACGGTGCAGGTGCCGTCATATACATATTTTTTCTGCTGCTGCGAGAACCGTTTAGCTTTATGTAAGGGTTCAATGTTTTCTGAATTGGATGCTACTGACACCACACCGTTATCATTCCACTTGCAAACCAAAATATGCCCTGGTTGGCTAGACTTATACTTGAATGTGCCTCTTTCTGTCTTCTTGAATTCTTTATTGGACGGCAAAGGACACTTTTTGTACGGTCCTCGCGAATTGTTCCAGTGGCTTTGAGCCCTCTGTTACTCAATTCGTGAAGGGTGGAATAGAAGAAAAGAAATTGTCAAAGAATAAGTGACAAGGCGCACCTGGGTGACGAAATTGTAAATAATCAGCAAAACGTAAAATCACACCAGCTCCTATACCTAACTGCCCATAAGCTGGTGGAATAATTGCTGCATGGCCTTGGTACGGATCAAACCATAGTACGTATCCCAATCTAGTCGCTCCAACCCAGAACTTATATCCCCATCTGATCGGTTTTCCACGTATAAATTGTTTACAGCTGTGTCCTCCATAATAAGGTACCATAGCCTCGTCAATGCTGTAAATTTCTTCTAAGGGAGCCATATTCAGGAATATTTCGTTCAGGATATCGAAAAGCGGTCTCAACTTTGCAAATTTGTCACTTTCAGTAGTTATCTGAGCATGGTCACAACAGTGGAGGTGAGTCATCATAAATGTAAATCTATCCCTCGACATGGCGTTATATATAATACTAAAATCAGCGTCTGTTGATTTCTCCCAGTACATGTATCTTCGGGGAACTACGATATATCCACTGTAAAGAAGTATAGCAAGGAAACACTTCATTTCACTCGTTGTCACATTACCCAATTTGTTCTTTTGAATCGCGTAAATATTTGTATATTTGACCAATAATTTGATAACACAGTCATCAAACATACAGTCAAAGTAATACATGGGCGTTTGAAGCTGTCTTGGCCCATGGTTATTTTGCCATTGAGGTCGGTCGTGAGGATTATGGCGATTTCTCCAAGTATAATTTTGATTTTTCGGTACGGTTGGATCAACAAAAGGAACTGCTGACGTGCTGCTAATAACTGGAGCTGAATTAGATGTAGATGGCTCAGGTTGACGACCTTCCACAATCAGGGGTTCATTGGTGGTTCGACTTCTTTTTGCTAAAGAAGACAAGGGTACACTGTCCTCGTCACTGTCGGAACACATGTATTTTATCTCAGCATGAGCTCTTAGCTGAGAACCTAGATAGAAAAATATAAATATATATAGAGGTATATAACAACTGACATGAGAAAATAACGTAAAGATTTAGACGAGATCTATATCAAACCTGAAAGATTGTTCAGAGTTACAAGCTCCTAATCACCAGAATCTTCATCGGTGATATCAGCATTCGCGTTATCTGGTGGTAAAATGATTATATCTCTTGGAAGTGGAGCATCATCATCTAATTGTTCCAATTCATCAATGATTTGATTGAAAGACAATGGTTTACTGGTATCCCTAGGTCTGAAAGTCATAAATACATCCTCAAATTACTACCGATCGCTAAAACGATCATCAGTTATAATATCATTTGTTTATTATAAAAGATATGATAAGATCGAATTTTATTTCACAGTTTTGTTAGATAGGTTTTAAATTTATAAAAAATGTGCATAAAATAAAATTCAAAGTCAAGCTAATTTGTAAACACTTACCGTTTTGAAGACATTGTGAAAGTTAATTACGCTAATACGAATTAAAATACAAAAACACTTCAAAATTATGATCATAAGATAATTATCTATGCATCGAAATACTGTCAAACGATCACTGCGGCGATTGGTAAACAATAAGCAAGAGTTATCCGTAGGTTGTTATTTTAAAATTGAGGGTATTCCCCATATATTTTTTTGATCTTTATAACGATCGGTCGTTGTAAATGGGTTAATATGCATTAAGTCAGAAGAGCGGCCATCTATGACTACCCCGATCGACTGTTTACTCAGAAAGTCAGATATCCAGTTGCGAAGTTCGCCGGGGATACCGTAGGCCTTCGAGATATCGAGTGAAACTGCTAGAGCTTCACCGTTTTCTTTATGGCCTCACCCCAAAAGTGCGTGACATACACAAGGAGATCTGCAGTGGACTGTCCACGGCGGAAGCCATATTGATGGTCAATGCTCAATACTCAATATTTATTTGCATTCCATAATGTACAAATTAATAAATATAATTATCACGATATGGACCCTGTTGGGTATATTAAAGCAGAGGAGAACGCAAAAATGTTTTATTTTTCATTATTATTACTATATAATTCATTATTGTTACATTATTTAGTATTTTTATACTATCATTATTCATATTATTCATTAATTTATCTATAGTTACATTTGTCATTATTTTGATAGAGCCATGCTGCAGCTATATTAGTAATATAGTTGTAGTGCGAATGGGTCGGCTCGACCGGGGAAGGACCACGCTCTCACAGAAAACCAGCGTAAAATAGCAGCTTAACGCTGCTCTGTTTCGTATGGTGAATGTAGAGAACCGGAGACCCCTTTTTACTGGCAAAGAGGCATTCCATCTTAGTCCTCACCCGTGACAACGCATCTGCATCTTGAGTCTTTATTGAGTGATTATTGAGGATAGACGTAGATGTCTATGGGCTACAGCAACCACTTACCATCAGGTGGCCTGTGTGGTCGTTTGTCACCCTATCCTATAAAAAAATCAGGTATTCATATAAAGTATAGTAAGATTTAATGATTAGAAACAGTTTTAATTGTCTTATAAAAATATTATCAATTGTTTCTTTTTTTAATGAGTTTCGTAGTTTATTAAAAAAGTTATGGACACTACGTAAGGGTCTAATGAGAAGAGCTTCATTTTAGAGGTAGATAGCAATGATCTTTTTTCATGCCTAAAACTAGAAGCCGTATTTTAAGTTTCTCGAGTGGCAGCAGCAGAAAAATATTCCGAAGAGAACTGTTTTCTTTGAACGCTACATAAACGCGATTAATTTTATTCGTAACGTTGAATTTTCCTTTACTCAGATCATTTTCCCTGACCGATAAACTGTGTTTGCAGCATTTTAATAGTTCATAATTTTCTCTTGTTTGTTATTAATTTTATTATAACTATGTTTTAATAAATAAAAATAAACTTTTTTTGGTGTTTATTTGTAATAATGATGACTTTGAAAATTGCTAATAATATTTTAAAAATCCTTACTTGCAAAATTAAAAGCTCTAGATTTGCATTATTTTTATTCCAATGTAGTTTGTATCACGAGTATCAATTCATCAATTCATTCATTGGCTATCAAAAGGCTGCCAATTGCTCACGATATGATCATAAAAAAATACCACATTTCTATAGTTCGTAAGCGATGGTAATGTTGGGATCGAACCTATGAGATATTAACCAACGTTAAGTGCTATGAAGATGAGATACTAATACCTAACATAGTACTTATGGTATTGCGGTTGTGTTATATAAGTGTATGAACTCCCTACAAAACTTCTAACAACTGTAATCATGGATAACAATAAATGAGGCCTTATTACGAGCCTTGAGATACTGGCTAAGCTGGATATTGACAAGGGAAGATGTCGTTAACATTAATCTATCACATTGTAGTATTTGATCGGTAACTACAAAAGATGTCGGTTTATGTCCAGTCGTTAGTTATTGAATATACCCGTAAATTATGTCATCCCACAATGTTATCGCGTCACAAATAATGATACATACGTAGATATTCACACGTCGTTATGTAGGAATCGAACATAAGATTATTATGGGACATTGTTTTGAATTCGTGTTTACGTTGTTTTGTTTATTTATTATTATACTATATATTAATAACGTATTTCGACTTTCGTAGACATCGATAAAATTGTTAATAAGTACATTGAATTTTATATAACATAGATTTGATAATTTTATTATTATTTCATATTTATATAATTTTTTGATGTTGTTTGTAATTTGATTCACACTGACAATAGGCGTTACGAACTGACTTCTAATTTTAATTCATATAATATATTTCCATCCATCACGAGTTCATTCTCAGATGTACTCGTGATGGCTCGGGATGGCGCAAATATGCGTGCGTTCAACATAAAATACAAGAAAATATATTAAGCAGATCGTTAATAATTTGTCGCAAATAATAAATGGTAATATATGGTAAATATATATAGGCCGGTGTGTAAGAGCAAGTTACGTCGTTGCAAACGATACGTTAGTGTGTAATGCATGCCGTACTACGCACTTACACGTCATGCCGGTGGGAACGATGGGCTGGAGCAAGTGCCAGAAGTCTTCCTTACAAAACTGCGGTGAGTCGAACTGAAGACAAGTTGCACTGTAAGAAATGAAAGAAATGAAAGTTTATTGTTTCCAACATATTCTTAAATTACCTAGTATAAGTTTGAGTAATTCTTTTAAGTATAAAGATACTTGTGGTAGAAGGTCCTCGCCCTCCCTTAACTAAATACATTCAACAAAAAAGAAACAGGGTGTGTGCATGTGTGCATTCGAGCGTGCGCGCGCGCGCGCGCGCGCGTGTGTGTGTGTGTGTGTGTGTGAGTGTGTGTGTGTGTGTATGTGTGTGTGTGTGTGTGTGTTATAAAGTTTCAGTTTGGTCGTAATTAAGAGTCTTAAGCCACTGCATTATTGTCGGACTGGACTTGCGGGAGCTGAAGAAGAGAAGACGATTCTCGGGAGTGAATGATAGCTCTACGGCTAAATTTTAAATCATGGATAAGTTATTTATAGGCATAGGATAAAATAAAATATAAAGAAATTAAAACTTACAGTTGTTTGAATAAATTAGTTAAATTGTTTCACTTATACTTTATTTGATTGATAACTTTAATATAACGAATGAAAGCCTGGCAACACTGTACCTGTGTTTGATGCTAATGTGGTGGCCCAGAGACATTTACACCTATTCTCGATTGAAAATCAAAATGCAGATTCGTCGTCACCCCTGAAGATTTGCCTAAGAAGAGAAGAAAAAAAATGGTCTGCGATTACTTTTTCGTTACAGACCTTGTAGAATTATACTGCTATTTTATGCTGAAATACTGTGAGAAAGTGGCTTTATCCCGATGGAGCCGTCCCATTCATGCTGCGATCGTGGCGAGCCTGCCATATAAAATTCAATCATTTTTGCAAAAAAATTCTTTTATATTATGTAACTTGTTCGTATGTTGATTTTTGCTTGTTGAAAAAAAATCAACTTACAAAGTAAAAGTTACCTAATATAAAATAAAAGTTCTAGAATATAACACAGATATTATAATGGCCAAGTATTCGTAACTTTCTGACATCTTTGTGATGTAATCTATTTAAAACTTAGAAGTTTTAAGGTAATTTCAAGTAAACTTTGATAATAAGCATAAATTTCTTTGAATAATTCAATATGCAAGGAAACTCGATATTTAACAAGATTTGCAAAGGCCAAGCATCCCAAAGTTTAACTTTACTTATTAATTTGTATTCACTGTTCTTAGAGGAATTGAAATGAATTTTAATAAGAAACCTCTCTTCACTATGCGACAGGCTTCTGTGTAATACTTTTAACTGGATTGCTACTAACTAGTAAAGAAGACGAAGAAGAGGAATAAACCTACATGGCAGCTTGATTTTTTTTTGAACTGAAGTGGCAAATGAACTAACAATCCGCCTGATAGTAAGTACCACTGCAACCCATGAATACCTGCAGCCAATTTAAAAAAGGAATCCTATAAACCGAAACCGAAGTAGAACCACACTCTCTAGGAATACCAGCGTGGAACGCAGAGTAATACTGTGTTTAATGAGGTGAGTGTAAAGGACCGGAGACCTTTTTCACCAGTAACAAAACATTCCATCTAGTTCTCAGAAATGACAACTTATTAGAAGTTTGATTCTAAATCGAGGATAGAGTTTAAATAAGGTGGAGTGTTTACTCGCTTGTTACCATTATTCTATAAAAAACGATATGTAGCTTTGAGGATTTGAATTAAACTAGTTTTCACGGATCCTATATTTTAATAATTTAAATCTGGAGGTAGCTGTGGTTAACTATGACATTGGGACGTCAAACACCTCAGGCTCCCCGTGACCATGGGTACTGTAAAGTGTTCGAAACGTCGGGAATATAAAATAAGTTAATATTCGCGATAAAATCCGTAAAAACTAGTTTCATTCAAATGTGTAATGTT